GGTTCCTGACCCACAGAGTATAAGATAAAAAATGCCTATTGTTTTAAGGTGCTAAATTTGGGGATAGTTTGTTACAGAGCTATAAATAAGCAATAACAAAAAGGAAGATAAAAAGTAAAGCAAAACAAAAGCAAACAGACTATAGAGCATAAAGAGAGAAAGCAAAGAAACAGTATGGATTCAAAGTATAAACAAATAAAATTAAATTGACAGATTTAAGATAGAAATAAAATAATTTCAATAAGGATAGAACAACTATTTTTTAAAATGATTAGGTGGCATGAAGAGTCACTTTATATTGACAAAGAATACAGCTCACAATAAAGCTGTTCTAGTATATGTAAAAGTAATATTAGGGTACATAAAATTTCAAGAAATTAGAGGATAAAAGATTTGTTAGAGCTTAGTGATTTTTCAAGAAGAAAAAATATAGTTTTAGTGGATATGGAAACATCAGAAAGGCTGATGAAAACATCTGCTACATAACAATTGCTCAATAAATATTTATTATATAAATTTTATAAATTATAGAGAAAAACAATAATACTGTATAGATACCTATACAGTATTTCAAAAAGAAATAGAATGTGCAGGGGAAAAAATTAGAGAATGTATACACCAATATTTAACAAGAAGTATTCTAGGTATAAACTTATTGGGAATTTTTACCATATATTTAGTTTGCTTTCATAAGAAAGAAATAATTCTTTAAAATACTCTCTTTATGGGCCCTCCCTGGTGGTGCAACAGGTTAAGACGCAGTACTACAAGCTGGCTGCAGCCACCTCAGTGAGAGTTTGATCCCCGGCCCTGGAGGTGACCCACATGGCGCAGCAGACCTCTCCTGACCCATGCGCTGCTCCCCTCAGCAGTGTACTTCATTGGTTGGCCTGTTCTGCTCCCCACTCTGTCTCTGGTGAAGCCTCTCATCACACCTGCACCTCTGGCTTGTACCCCAATTCTGTATGAATAAATAAATATTTTAAAAATATATTCTCTTTAGAATTTTTCTAAATCATACAGTTGTCTTTCCTTTCTTACTGGAAGAATTGATCCACTTCCCTTCCAAGAATCAAGAGTTTATATTTCCATATCCTGTAGAATGTTATTCCCATAATCCCCTTCTCCTAGATTTTCATATTTGTGCTTCTAATGGAGTCTTCATTTCACCCTTAAAACATAGTTACCTCTCATCTTCAATTCTAGAACATCCCTTCACATCAAGAATCTCTTTCACTTCTTTACCAAAATCTTTAATGTATCTTCCACTTCTACAATTAACACCCAACCTCTTCTAAAATAGAATTTATTGAGTCAATATTGTTTACACACTTTTGTGCTTGGAGTTACAACTAACTTGTCTCCAAGTTCCCAACTCCAGCTAAAAGATTAAGGCAGAGGAGAAGGATTTATACCCAGAACATGTCAGCCTCTCCCCTAGAAAAAATCATTAATGAATACTGCTTCTTGACTGAATCTCCCTTCCCCAAGGCTTCCATCAACATGGATCAAGAGCTCACCTGATTCTTAGAGCTCTTCATCTCCATCCACACAGTTGAGGAACCCAAATACATTCTTACTCTCCATATTAAGGAAATGGAAAGATAGTCCTTGCTCATGATTGAAAGAATTAACATTGCTAAAATGGTCATCTTACCCAAAGCAATATACAGATTCAGTATAATTCCTATCAAAATTTCAATGCATTCTTTGAAGAAACAGAATACATATTACTGATATTGACATGGAGCCAAAAAAGAGCCCAAGTATCCAAAGTAATCTAGCAACAACAACAAAAAGAATGGTGGTATCACACTGCTAGACATCAAACTATACTATAAAATTATAATAACCAAAGGGAGAGGTAGGCTCAATGGTCTGTGGTGAAGAATTATGGAAGTGTTGTTGGGGTGGGGGTGATTGGGAGTGGGGGATGTGATAACCCACATCTGAAGGGGTATGAACCTATAGCTCTAGGGTATATAAAGTAAACCAACCCCACCTCAATGAAAAAAGTTTAAAACTTTGATTACTGTTACCTTTAAACAAATCTTATATTGTTCTAGAAATGTCTGTTGACTCAGGATGGTAGAAATTGTGTGCTGGTATTTTAAACCAAGAAAGGAAGCTCTACTTATTCTGAAAATGTTTTCTTCTTTCCCTTTACCTATGAGAGTTTCAGTTATTGACTACTTGAGGAGGTAAGGTCATTTCCCCCTATATAATTTGTTTTCAACAGAGACCAGGAATGTATACATGTGAGCTCCAATTTTTTAAGCAAAATGTTTTTGATTTATTGATTTATTTTTATTATTATTGATTTATTATTGATTTATTTTTATTATTATAAATTGTTCGGTTTTCATTGGTTGACTTACAAAGTTGTATATGATTTAAGTTAGGGGCACTCCCTTTCAGGTGGGGTTGCCATCCCACACCCACCACTAAAACATTCATTGATTGTCTTCCATCATAGTCTATTTTGCTTCCTTCTCAATTTTATTTTTCTCTCCTTTCCTTCCCCCTGTGGTTGGCTCATTCCTACAAAACATTTTCTCTCTGATACCAAATTTGACTGGGTAAATATAGTTTCAACAGTAGCAGTTAGATCCCTGGTGTGGAACGTGCCTTCACTCTTAGTTCTGTGATAACCTGTGTTACACCATGGTGATATGATGATTTTCCAAATGTTATTCTGAACTGAGTTGTTCATATATATTAACAAGTGACAGGTATCAGTTTCCAACCAGTGTCCCTATGATGGAAAATCTGAGTTATTATTGTTCATAAGGACTTTCTGAATGTTGTTGCTTTTAATGTGTTAATTAACTTTTCTGCAAAATATTATCTCATCTTTTTAGTTCTTTTCTCCAAATTGTAATATCGTGTTTTAAATGTGATGGATGCTTTTGCTTTACTCAATTTATATTTTTGGATATTCTATCAAGCATGTTGCTTTAATTTTTTTTACCTCATTTAGAAAAATGTACTCTTTCCTTTTATATCCAGCATCCCTCACATCCTATCACTAACTATTCTTTGGGGGGAATATAACAATATCTATTTCTTTTAGATTTTTAAAAAAGATTTATTTATTTATTCATGCAGAACTAGGGTACAAGCCAGAGGTGCAGGGGTGGTGAGAGGATTCACCAGAGACAGTGAGGAGCAGAACAGGCAGATCAAAGAAGTACACTGCTGAGGGGAGCAGTGGGCGGGTCAGGAGAGGTCTGCCTCGCCATGTGGATCTCCCCCAGGGCAAGTGGGATAGAACTCATGCTGAAGTGGCTTAGCTTCTTAGTGCTGTGCTTTAACCAGCTGAGCCACCTGGGAGGTCCTTAATGTAGATTTTTTTAACCCCATCCGTTACTTACTAAAATTATTATTTTTAGGGGGAAAAATATCAACACCTATAGAAGTTTGGAAAGAGTTGATTCTAGCCTTCGTGGTTGATTTTGAGGAGTTCAAGAATTCAGTGAAGGAAATGACTATCGATTTGGAGGAAATAGCAAGACAACTAGAATTAGAAGTGGATCCTGAGATGTGACTGAATTGCTCTACTCTCATGATAAAATTTTAGCTCGTAAGTGTTACTTCTTATGGATGAGCAAAGTGCTTTCTTCAGATGGAATTTACTCCTGGTGAAGATGTGAATATTGTTGCAATGACAGCAGAGAATTTCAAGTATTAAATTTAGATGATAAAAGCAACAGCAAGGTTTGAGAGGATGGATTCTCACAATGAGAAAAGTTCCACCGTGCGTAAATACTAACAAACAGTACAGGTTTATTTAGCAAACCTCTTTGTTGCCTTATTTTAAGAAATTGCCACAGCCACCCCAACCTTCAGCAACCACGACCTTGATAAGACAGCAGCCATCAGTTCACTGTGGTTCAGTTGATGGTGAGCATTTTTTAAGCACTAAAGTATTTTTAATTAAGTTACGTTTACTTTTTAGACATAAGACTAATGCACATTTAATAGTCTATCGTTTAAACATAACTTTTATATGCACTGGGAAACCAAATAACTCTCACTGGCTATATTGTGAAGTTGGCTTTATTGCAGTGGTCTGGAACCGAATCCGCAGTATTTCCAAGATGTTCAGTTTCTAGCACTAACACAACAGTCTTTTCCTTCCTACTCCACTCTTCCAAATCACAGATAAACTTCTTTTGGTAATACTATTGAATAAGGATTTATTTATCAGCTATTTCAAGAAAGACCATCAAAGCATTCTCCTCTTGTTTTACAACTTCTCGGACAACTTCTCTCCCCACTTTCTCTTTCCAGCTGCTAAAAGAAGGGTTGGAGAAACAATTGAAAAATGAGGAGTGCTCCCACCACAGCAGGTGAGAATACAAAAGAAGCTTCCTGCATCTTGAGTTTTTCTCTGCTTTATGGTTGTATGTGATGAACCAATAAGTGAAAAAGTGCTTTGCAAACTGTAGAGTGCTCTACAAACTACAAAGTAAAATTATTCATCCTGTAACACACCCGGGGCTTTAACTAAGTTGTGAGCAACAGAATATTAGCTGTTCCAAGCAAAGAACACGCGTTTGTTGAGGGTGAAGCGAGAGTAAGGCCCTAAATACTATGAACTTGGCCGAGAACTCTACTTGTCATTACTGCCAACACCCAGTTAAAACTTCATCAGAGTTGCCATGTGTGAGTAAGACAGAAAGAAAATGGTATTTGAGTGAAAACCCTCAGTTTTAAAATATCTCTAGCTAGCAGTGCCCTCCCCCTCCTCCCCCCCCGCCCCCATCGCAACCCCACCCAATCCAGTTCCCTGGAGGTTTTAAGCTCGTGCAAATATCCTCCCCAGTATTTACAAAGTCCCTGCCCAAGTCCTTCCCTTCCTGGCCTCCCCCCATCCCTCTTTCCTTTCCGACCCTGCCCTCGGACCCTCGCCCCACCCAACCAGAACCCGAAGGACTACAAGTCCCAGCGTGCAGCGCGCGCGGCGGGCTGCTGTGGGGCTGGGCGCGTGGCTGCAGGCGAGCTCCGCGCGGGGGAAAGCCTCCCGGCGCTGGCCATGAGGGGAGGTAAGTGATCCGCTCGTGCCGAGAGGGCAATGGGAACGCGCCTGTCCTCTCTTTTCTCCAGGATGAAAAGAAACAAAGATAAGCATAATAAAAACAGCCCCCCCCCCTCCGCGCCCCGTCTCTGCTGTGTGCCCAGTGCTCCTGCCGCTTGTTGCACCCATGAGCGTGGAATCTGTCACCCTGGAGTGGAAATGGGGGTAGAAGCGCGCCCTGCCCTGCGGAGAGCTAGGACACTCCCGGGGCTGAGGGGCAAAACTTCCAGGATGCGACCGGTGGTAGCAGGCTCTACTGGGTGCAGTGAGCGCCACTCCCCCTCCAAAGACGGGCTCTTTCTGGGAGCCTCTAGACTCCAGAATTCTTCTCCAGAGTCCTAGCCTGAAACTTTTCTCCCCTGTCGCTGGTGTCACAAGCGAGTCGTTTGTCTCTCGTCGGCGTCGCTGACCCACCAAGAGGCTTCTTTCCTTCCCTGCCCCTGCCCTCCGTCCTGCCCCCAGCATCCCCTCTTTAGGCTGCTCACTTTCCTTACGACACTTCTAGGGACGCACTGAGCTCAGCTCTGCTCTGGGGAGACTTCTGGAGATTTCTTCTACAGCCTCGTGGACTCAGGTCCGCGTTCTACAGTGCTGACTGGATCCTCCTCTAAGCTGATTCTGGGTCCGGAGGCTGGGCGGGGTGTTTCCTTTGCAAAGTATGGTGCGCCCTCATCTTCTTTGGGGGAGGGGGGTGGGGTGGGGTGGAGGCAGAAGAATGAGTGCTGGTCAATAAAAGAAATCCGAGGCAGGCACCAGTTTCCACGCCTGTCTTGACCCACTTTCCATCTTACCGGGACCCAATCCCAAGTGAGCCGGAAATTTCTAATCTGGTATCCCAATACAAAGATCTCAGTGATTTTTTTTTTTAACATATCCCATATCCTGGACAAAAGGTGGAGTTCGTCTGCATCTCTATCACCAGACACTTAGACACTCTACCACACAAACATTCATAGGCTTTATACATAACATATAAGTTACACTCATCACACACTTCATTTTTGCTGTGCACATATATCATACACCAGTGCACACACATTAACACATTATTTTATTAGCAGAGAAGAGTTTGTTGGAGAGAGTGAGGAGGAAGTGGGCAAATAATACAGACACTAATATGTTTGTATATTACATATATATGTACAATACATATGTACAATACAAATGTCAAGTTATTAGAGTTAACAACAGCCTGATAAGTGAAATTTTCTAGAATTTAGATTTTCTTTGCAGCTTTTTTTTTTATTAAAATAGGTATGATTTCCTACAACACCTGAAATCCTCATCTTTGTCTATAAGGCAAACTTTTGATCCCAGCAGGCAAAACAGGAGAAGAGTCCTTTTCTAGATATAGGAAGGAATTCTTGGAGAAACTTCACATAATCTTTTCCTCTGTTGCTGTGTCTTGGATAGAGCTGGGTACAACAACATTTTCTTTGCTTCTCTCTGTTCAGCAGTGATGAACTGAACTTGGTTTCGAAACATGGTGCTAACAGGACGTACTCATCCCTTCCACTTGCCAGCAGGCCTCATAGTCTGGCCCACCTCCATTTTAATTTAGTTGGAGAAGAGTTCAGAAATTTAGGGTCAAGTACAAAAGCATTTGAAATCTGTTGGTAAAAGAGCTACCTCAATACTTGGTTTTGCTCAGTGATGATAAAGACCTACTGTTTGGCTAATGCTCAAAAAAATAAAGTTACTCAAAAGTATATGAACACTTGGGCTTCCTCTCTAATTATTATTGTTTGTTTTTGCAAAGGGGCAGTGGTAAAAGTGGGCAGAAAAAGCACTTGCTCTCTTTCTCAGCAGTAATCTTTCAGGAAGTTGAACTTTTCTGTTACCATCTTGCAATAAGTAAGAGGAAAAAATAATCCCCACTTTGAAACCCAGGCTGCAAAGTTAAATGGTAGTTGCTGCCCTTATAGTGCCCGAAAAATTACTAAGGAAAGGGATTGTAACGGGTTTCTTCTCCATTCTGTTTGATAGCTACACAATGTTATAAAGAATCAGCTAATTTTTCCTAGGATCATTTTTGGACTCAATGTTATAAAATATGAGATAGGCTAGGATCCCAACCTACGTGCTCTGCGCTGTCTTGAGTGATTTTGTTGACAGTGTGACTTAAAAAAGTCTGATATTGATTTAGTGGTTGTTTTTTTTTTTTTTTAAGATTTATTTATGCATACAGAACTGGGGTACAGGCCAGAGGTGCAGGGGCAGTGAGATATTCACCAGGGACAGAGTGGGGAGCAGAACAGGCAGACTGACAAGTACACTGCTGAGGGGAGCAGTGGGTGGTTCAGGAGAGGTCTGCCACTCCATATGGGTCACCTCCAGGGCTGGGGATCGAACTCATGCTGACGAGGCTTTAGCTTCTTAATGCTGTGCTTTAACTGCTGGACCACCAGGGAGGGCCCTGACTGGTATTTTTTAAAGTGACAACCATATATGTGTCCTGTATGTGAGCAGCACATTGGTGTGTGGACATGTTACCCTGGAGCAGTGCTTCCCAGCCAAGCATGAGAACTGTAAGACTGACCAAGATTACTTAAACAAAAGATCACACCCAGGCCCTCCCTGGTGGCACAGCGGGTTAAAGCACTGCACTGAGAAGCTAAAGCCACTTCCGCATGAGTTCGATTCCCGCCTGCCCAGGAGGCGATTCACATGGCGAGGCAGACCTCTCTGGCCCACCCGCTGCTCCCCTTAGCAGTGTACTTCATAGGTCTGCCTGTTCTGTTCCCCACTCTGTCTCTGGTGAAGCCTCTCACCACCCCTGAGCCTCTGGCCTGCACCCCAGTTCTGTATGTACAAATAAAATAAATCTTTAAAAAAAAAAAAATGATCACACCCAGCTTCCTTACTCCATAAACAAATTTCCTGAACTGGTATTTAGGGTGGGGGAAGGAAGGCACATTGGCACTAATTCTTTTTTATATCTAACTGATATAGTACCAGGTGCTCATTGATAATATATTTGTTGGTTGAATTTGCTGAATTATGTATGCTGTGTTGTGCAACTGTGATAAACAGTTAAAATTAAATCTCCCAACCTAATTGTTTTTATTTTGCAGAGTAAGGTTTGTCTTGTTTTGATTTTTTGCTGACTTCATCTGGCACCATGAGTGCCAAAGTAAAAGAATATGGGCATTCTTAGATCTGGTCATCTATTTTGCATCTTCTCTGGAGTATGTTACTTCCCACATAATGATGTAAAAGGATTTTCTGCTGGGCAGTGCTTTTCTGATTCTCACAAAGAGATTATTTAAAAGGCAGCCTTGGGAACTTTGTCCACGAGTCTCTATTAGGAAGAAAGAGTAACACAGGAGTGTTCGCTGGTTAGAGCTCACAAGCAATGGGTTCTTTCTCTTCTTTTTTCTCCCACATGATAGAAAAAGAAATAGTTTGACATTCATGCTCAGACCAACAGCAAAGACAGAAATAGTGAAGGAGAGGGAGAAAATACTAGGCAATTGCTATAGCTTGTTTTTCTTTGTCCACGACAGGTGCAGTGAGAATTCTGAACTTGGGGGCTCATGATTCATTCACTTCCACTAATTGTGCTGAAGGTAGTTAGCAAAAGTGAACAGGCACACTGTAGCTTTAAAAAGTCAGCCATGAACCAGAAGGCAGTTGGTGCAGCTCGTGTGTGATTCCTAACGTCATGTTGGCTGAGAGCCAGCCTGGTTTTATTTCACTGTGTCAAATTGTACCTCCTTATTGAATTCCTTTGCCAGCCTACTTTGTGAAAGAAAACATTGGGGTTTCTTTGGCTGCTCTTGATAAGCCTATAAAAAATGACATGTTTTAGTTGCTTCTAGGTAGGTTTTCTTTTTACTCTTCCACAGAAAAGAAAATAATATAATAATAATAGTAATACAATGTAGTGTGGTGTTGCAGAGTATCCTTGTGAGTGTTTTGTTTTGTTTTGTTTCTGAGATGCTTAGAAATGGTGAATGTATAACAGTTTCCAACTGAAGTGAAATCATTCTTTGGCTTGGAGCAGCACTATCTTCTGTCTACTCTGTTAACGGTGTGTGGATGTATGTTAATATCTATATGTATATTAAATGTTGGATTTCTCTATGAATGATGGAAGTGGTTTAGCAACTGCAAGTTTGTGTGTGTGTGTGTGTGTGTGTGTAGTGAAGATGATCCCACACAGTATTATTTGTTAATCATCTACTTCTCTAACAGTGATAAAATCTTGTGAATGTACTAAATGATGCACTTGTCATGTCAGAGTAATCCCTAGGGAAGGAGTGCCGAAGTATAAAGTGATTTGAGAGGAAATGTATTTAATTTATGGCTTCAGCTGTAGACGAACAAGCACGTTTCAGAACTATTTGTTAAGCAGTTTTGTTCATGCCTTTTTCATCTTGCTAATTGCATATTAATTGTGAGGGGTTTTGTTTTTTTCACAATCTTCATCCTACTAAACAAAAAGACAGTGATGGATGCTACTATATCTCTTTGAATGTTTTGGTGATTTCTTCATAAATTTAATGAGCTGCCTACCTTCTCTTACACACACACACATACACACACACACACACACACCTTTCTGTGCAAAGGGGCTTTCTGACATTTTTGTGAGCATCTTGCTTTACTACAGCATGGACAGGTTTTTGAGGCTTTCGTTGAGAATATGTGAGGTTAGGGGAATACTTGCTGACAAAAGCGTTAAGTGCCCTCTGCATTGCAATGAAAAAATATAGGAGCAATGGGAGTGGACAAAACAAAACAAAACAACAACAAAAAAAAAACCTAAAAAAACAAATGCTTTAAGAAAACAAGAAATGACAGCCCATGGTGGGAAGGGGGCAGGGAAAAAGGGGTTTTTTCTTGACTTTGACTCATTTATGAGTTGCAGTGTCTTAAGTGAGAGCTTGGTACTCAGAGGACGCTGTGCCAATTCACAGAGCACTTGTTTTGAAGGAGTATTCTATTTCATTTGCAAATGCTTATTTGTCAAGGCTGGGAGTGCCAGTACAGATGAAAGCACCCAAATCTGTCTCCTTCAGTTCTTTGGGTTTAATCACATCTCACCAATAGCTGAGGGAGTGAGAGATTTAAACAAACATACATGAGCCGATGTGAAGCTGTAAAAGGGATCATTCTGTTTCCAATTCAGAATATATATTTTTCTTTCCCATTCTAAGATTTAAACACAAGCTTTTTTCCCTTATTGATTAGTTGCTGAAGTAAAGGATCCCTGCAGCCTTCCCATGCTATCTGTTGACATGGAAAACAAGGAAAATGGCTCTGTCGGTGTAAAAAAGTAAGTGAAACTGCCTTGTGAGTTTGCTTCTGCAAACAACAGAGGGACTTGGTTTCTATTTTTGTACTACTTGCTGTTTCTACTACAATGCACTGTTTGGGAGTTATCTTGGTTGGTCTATATGGTCACCAGCTTCCCCTGCCCCCAGTTGCTTTTTTCTGTATTCCATTTCTAGGATAGCCATGACTCAGAGGTCAAACTGTACAGAAAGGGTTAGTGTATCAGGCTTTGGAACAGGAAGGTCGAGAATTTCAGCTCTGATTCTGTTTTGAAACAAAAACACCCAGCAGACATATATTCTGCCTTCCAAGTCCATAAGTTAGGCAATGGGGGCAGAAAATAGAATGTGAATCTTTTTAATCATTGTTCACAAAATTGAGAGCTATAGTGAAAAAAGGAAAAGCGTTTCAGAAAAAATACTAAGTTGAACAACTTCTCTGTCCTAATTTTATGAACTGTTAGTTGAACGTGAAACATTTCCCTGTGTACCACAGTGTTCTATTTTAATGTTTGTTCTCACCTTTGCAACTCCTGATTATATTTGTTGAGAGTTTATAGCCAACTCTTTTAAATAGGAAACTTCATTTGCATTTTGTAGCATATTTTGAAACATGCTACGTGTATCAGATTAACTCATGACATACCTGTGAATATAGGGGGAAAATTTACATTCTCATTTAGGAGTTGTCTTGAGGTTATAACACTTTGATTGTAAGGAGAAAGTAAGTTCCAAGAGTGTGTTACCTGTTTTGTTTTTTATACGCTGTTTAGTTTAAAATTACCCCAACTTGAGTGTTGGAGAAAATGAATTAAATGCTGAGATATCTAAATGAGGAAACAGTTTACTGTATGTTTATGAACAAAATGCATATTTTCCTTTGCTGAAAAGTTACATAGAAATAAACTTAATAAAATCTGCTTTTAAAAATCCTCAGTTAATTTATCAGTAATGTATCAGCACCATGCTTATCCCATTCTTGAGGTCTGGGGCAGCTAAATGGGAGAAATAAAAGAAACAGATGCTTGTTTATGTCTGAGTTAGATCAGTGTTGTCCAGTAGTACTTTGAGTGGTGATGGAAATGTTTCACATTGTGCTCTCTAAACTGGTAGACACTAGCCACGTGTGGCTATCAAAACTTGATGTGGCTAATGTACTAATGTAACTGATGAATTGAACTTTTAACAGCTAGCAACTTTATTGATATACAATTGACATAAACTGCATGCATTAAAAATGTAAAACTGGTTAAGTATTAACATGTATATACACCAGTGAAACCTTTACCAAAATTAAGGCAATGAACTTGTCCTTCACCACCAAAATGTCCTCATAACCTTTGGCAATTTCTTCCTCTATCCTGTCTGCTCTTATACCCCAGGCAAATACTTACTACTAATCATCACTATAGATTAGTTACCTTTGCTTCAATTTTATATTAATGGTATTACTCAGAATATTCATGGGAGAGGGTGTGGTCAGATTTCTTTCACCCAGGATCATTAAGTTGGAATTCATCCATATTACAGTGTATGACAATAGTTTGTTACTTGTTCCTACAGAGTAATATTTCACTGTGTGGATATGTCACTGGATATGTTTTGTCTCATAGAAAGATCTTGAATAAAAGCATCCTTTTGTTCAATATCATTTTGTAGAAGTTGGATGAGATAACAACATCCTCCCCATTCTGAACAAAATTACATTATTCAAGGACCTGCTTTTGTTATAACTCATTTCACTTCAAGTTGTAGTTACCAAGAACCTATTGATAGAATTAAGTAGGGCCTGACTGTAGAAGTTTGTTCACTATCTGTCTACTTGTTGACAGAGTTTGGGTTGTTTCCTTTTGTGGTTATTACAAGTAAAGTTACTTTGACCATTTATTTACAATTCTGTGTGTGGACATATCCTTTAGTTTCTCTTGAGTAAATGTTAAGGAATGGAATATCTGGGGTAAATGGTAGGGGTATATTTAACTTTTTAACAGACTTCCAAGCTGCTTGTCCCATTTTACATTTCTACCAGCACTGTATGACCATTCACTTGTTCTGTATCCTCACAAACTTGGTATGATCTTTTTTCAAGTTAAACATTATATTAAGTATGGGTTTACTTTTCATTTTCTTATGAGTAAATGATGTTGAGCCTCTTTTCAAGTGCTCACTTGCCATCCATGTATCATTTTCCATATTGGATAAGTATTTTGTCCATCTCTTTGCTGGGTTAGTTTTTTTTAAATATGATTGGTTAGAGAGTTTTTCTGTATTTATCATATGCATGATTCAAAACTATTTTCCTGGAATACGTGATTTGTCTTTTCAATCACTCTATGTAAGTGTCTTTCAAAATGCAGGAATTTTTAATCTTGATGAAGTACAGTTTATCAATTTTTAATTCTATGAACAGTGCTTTAGTGTCATACCTAAGAAATATTTGTCTAATCTAAAGTCACAAAGTCTGTCTCTTTTATTTCCTGAGATTTAGAACTAACTATAATTTTTTAATTAATTTTTATGTATGGTGTGAGATAGGGATTCACTTGTTTTATGGTGGTCATGTGTGCTTTTATTTTTGTTCCTGCAGGTAGCAAATTGTTACAGCACCATTTGTTGAATTGTTTCTGCAACTTTGTTGAAAAATTGTTGGTCATATAGGTGTCGATCTATTTCCAAACTCTATTTTTATTCCACTGATATTTTTGCATATATTTATGTTAGTGCAACATTGTTCTGGCATGCAGCTTTATAATAAATCATGAAATCATGTAGTGTTATCCATCCAACTTTGCTCTTTTTCAAATTAGTTTTGGTCTGCTATGTCATTTGCATTTCCATATGAATTTTAGGATTATTCAATTCTTTTCCAATTTCTATTTTAAAAAATGGCCTGCTGCATTTTGATTGGCATTGCATTGAATTGTAGATCAACTTAAGAAAAATCTGACAATTTGACGACATGGTGTCTTCCAACTCACTCAGAAAGCATTTTTCTCCATTTATTTATATTTTCTTTTAATTTTTCTCAGAAAAGTTTTATAACTTTTAGTGTAGTCTTGCACATTTCAGTCAGATATATCTGTATATATTTCATATTTACATGCTATTACAAATGATATGGCTTTTTAAATTGTTGGTTGCTAGTGTATAGAAATAGTAATGGATCTTTCTATATTGCCCATGTATCCTATAGCATTGCTAAACTCACTTATTACTCTAGTAGACTTTTTGGTGGCAGATATTTAAAATCGATAATTATGTCATCTGAATACAGAAACTTTAACTGTTTCTCTTGGTGTGTGGATGCCCTGCAGTTCTCTAGCCAGTAAGTAGATAGGTCTTGCCTTATTTCTCATCCCTCAATGATCACTGCCCTTTATTGACTATGCCAATGTCTTGACAGTCACTTTTGCACATATTTTGTCTATTTTTTAGTTGTTTTAAGCAGAAGGATAACTGGGTCTCCGTTACTCCATTTTGACCACAGATAAAAATCCTAGACAATTTATATAGCCACAAGTGGCTTGTGACTAGCATAATGGATATTAAAATCTAACTCTAGATTTCATTATAGATTCCCAAAAGGCATAGTACAGTCAAACTCAAGCTGTACCTGAAATCAGCCAAAGCTGGTAATTGCAAGTGTTTCATTTCCCAAACATGGGACATATCATTGCTTTGCTAGGGGATGTGCAGTCACAAAGCTTCTTTTCTAAAGAAGCCTAGCGTAAGAACCCCTATTCACTGGCTCCGTGTTCCTGCTACAGTTTTAGCAGGCTGCTATGTATGAAGTCCCTGCTATGTAGCAGGCACTTGGTGCGAGCCTTATTAATCCTTACAATATTGAGATGTGTGTTACTTTTCCTTTTTGTACTTTTCATTTTGTAGATGAGAAGACTAGAGTTTCAGAAGGTTAAAGTGCTTCTAAGAGTTCGCAGCTAATAAGCGATGAAGCTGGGATTCATATTTTACTTTGACTCTGAAGACTGAGTCCTTTCTTCTGTACTGGAGTGACCAGGCTGTCGTGAGGGCTTTCATCACTTACTTAGCATAGCTTTTACTGGCATGTAGCCAGGGAAACCCTTCTTTCTTTTGTTTGTCTTCAAGTTTGGTAGCTGTGTGCAAACTATTGTTACATTACCTCAACTTAACAAAGATAGGACTTCCTTTTCCAAAATGGCTTATATCTTGTAACTACAGAATATTTTTCACTGAGCCATACCTCTACAGTTTCTGATTGCTCGTAGGCTTGAAAACTTGCATTTCTAACATGTTCTCTTGTGATGTTAATGCTGAGGTTCTAACAATTATTGAACTTGATCAACAGCCAAAACTTGGTCAAAAGGGTCAAGAATTTTCAACTTTTCCACTATTGACATTTTGACTCAGGTAATTCTTTGTTGGGATGTATATGTATGTGTGTGTGTCTATGTATGAGACTGATGGTATCTAGTCCATTTTTAAACACATCTCATCACTATCCACTACATGCTAGCAGTGCCCTCTCTCTGTTTCTGACAATCAAAAGTGTCTCTAGACATTGCCAGATGCCCCCGGGAGTCAAATCTACCCCAGTTGAGAAGCAAACCCCAACCTAAGCTCCCCATGAGGAATGCATGACACTTCTAGGAATCAAAAACTAATTAATCTATTCAATCATTTCTGCTTAAAACACTGAAAAGACTTATTTCAACCTAGAAGCTTCCTCTCCCTGAATTCCCCTGGCTTTATACAGAAGGGGAAAGGTGGTAAAATGTAAATATGTGATGGAATCTGGGTGAAGGATATGTGGAATTTTGTACTATTTTTGCAACTTTTCTGTAAATCTGACATAGTTCATTCTTCTAAAGCTAACCAGATTTCTAGTTGAGAATGAAAATTTATTTTTCTTTGAGGAAAAGTAAAAGTAGTCCAGATTTGTGGGCCCTCCCTGGTGGCGCAGCGGGTTAAAGCACAGCACTGAGAATCTGAAGCCACTTCCGCATGAGTTCGATTCCCGCCT